ATATTCAGCAAATTTCAAAGCATATATAGTGAACCTTGAGCTCAATGTGTAAATAGGCATTGAAAAAAGAATCTTCAAATCACAGGTACTGAGTTGTGGCCTGTTTCACTTGGGGGAGTTATTCGGTCTTAAATATTTGCACTGTATAAAACTTTAAATATCAGCATTTGTGAGGTGGTTTGAATTTTACATGGAAAGCAGAAGCAAATTCTTATTTGGAAGAGGAATAAAGTATAGCAGGTTTTACATATACTAACAAGTGTTACTTCTGTTTGAATAAGTCCACCATTGTCCCTTTCTGTATCTATAGTAGTTTTGTACAGATATGTTTCAGTAAGTACTTCAGGTTGTTCAGTGTATATTTTTTTCTTTTAAACACAACTTGCTTTTATGACGTATTAAAAATAAGATTTTTCAACTTAACAAGTTATGATCTTTCATTTAGATCATTTTAGGATGTACATCACGTAATGGCAAAACTAGAAATATGGAAGAGTATTGGGGAACTAGATATATGTACCCACCTTTGTATATTAAATATAAATATATAATGCTGCTCAATCTTTTGACATCATCTTTGACCGCTTTGAGAGCAGTTGAATTCTACTTTTTAATGTAATGAGCTATACTAAATACAGGTAATGGTCTGTTAAAGGCTATGTTTGCATCCTATTCAGAGGGTGTACTTTTTTAATTTATCTATAAGGCTAGAATATAGCCACATTCAGAGACATGTATTCAATAGGTTTCAATCCTATATATTTTTTGTAACTAAAAGAGCAATTAGATATACAAGCAGAAGTTTTCCAGAAGTAGATTTTACACTGTTTAGGATTCTAAAATCTATGCTGAAAAGACTGTTTACCAAACTAGTTCATAAATTAGAAACTCCTAAAGAAACAGGAGAGGGGAAAATATTTTCTTTAGGAATATATACATACATATCTACATAGAAATACGTACACTCAAATTGAGGGAAAGGAGTATTTGAGCTGAAATCATGTATTGGAGATTCTAAGGGGTGCTTTAGTAGCTGGGAGTGAGGATACAGCAGCTGTATGCAAAACAGCTTTTTATACAAAGGGAGTCAATAGTAAAGGTGGTGTGTTTCTAGATGTGCATGTATGTATCGGTATATGTACACAATTTTATAAATATATTAAATTATAGATAAACATGCAGGCTGTTTTGAATAGGATATATGTATAGATATCTAAGGTTTTAGCTTGCTGTGCACTTAAGCATCAGAGCTTGAAAAACCATCAGACCTCAGCTATGTAAAAAAAAAAAAAAAAAATGTTTTAAAACAAATACAAAAATTCTCTTATCCTATAAATCAAGTCTGTTCTAAAGCATTTGGAAACTAATGAACATTTGTCACATTTCAGTAGAACTGCCATGTTGTAACATTAAATTAGCATTCCATGAAAATAATAATAAAAACAAACTGGGAATACGTTACTTTTGTATGTTGTATGTGCATGTTGGAGTATGTGACTGCAGAAATGAATGATTACTTAGATGTAATCGTTATTCACTATTAGGCTCTATAACCTAATAGTCCTTTTGGGGGAATTTGACTATTGGCATGTTAGTAATTAGGGCTGTGCGAAACTTTGGTAGCCTATTCGATTCGGAGGAAATTCGGTCCGATTCAGTGACTAAATCTCCAAATTGAATTGGGAAACCAATTAAAAGCTCCGAATCGATTCGGAAAAAGAATTGGAAAAGATTCGGTGTTTTGGTCATAAACTAAACGGGCAGCTGACACAGGCTGTCAAGCGATGGCAGGGCAGAGCCCCTGCTCCCAGTGCTGATGTGGGTGCAGCAGTGCTGGAAGCGGGGCCATGCCCTGCCACCACTTGCCCCCTTCGCCCACCACTTGCCCCCTTCCACTCAGAGTGAGGCTTGCCTGCATCAGCACTGGAACCGGGGACTGCACTGCTGCCGCTGGCTAACCAGCATGGGGAGACATGGGATGTGGGCGCGGCAGTGCTGAAAGCAGCAAGGCATAGCCTCCGCTGCTTGACCCCTTCCACCCAGAGCGAGCTGTTGTGCCCGCATCCCCCTGCCTCTTTCCCCAAGTAACGTGTCTCCCTGCCTCAGCTGGGCAGCTTGTCCCAGCCCCAATCCCTCCCTCCCCCCACCCCTTCTCTCCCCCCTCCTCCAACCCTAACAGACTTACCAGCTGGAGGCAGCTGTGTCAGCTGCCTGTTTAGTCTATGGCTGAATCTCCGAAGTGGTGCCAGCCAGCACCAAATCTTTTGGATCTGATTTGGCCAAATTGAATTGGGACAGTGATTCGAATCACTGTCCGCTGAATTGACCGAATCCGAAGCGAATACTTGCTGCTTCGCCCAGGCCTGTTAGTAATGTTGCAAGTTGGGATGATCCCAGTTTGTAAGCATTTACTACAAACATAAAATGTCTTTCTCCTGCAGATGCATAGTGAGTGTTTTCATGGATAGTGCTTGGGTTTTTTGTTTTCCTCTGGATGATGAAAGAAAGCTGTATAATGTATGACTAATCTCAAACAGTGGGGTTGGTGTCCTTCTGTTCATGAATTTGATTTGCCTTTGTACTAGTAGAAAAATAATTATGCATGAATTCAGTCAGCATTCTGAGATGATGCTAGTGAGTTGTCTTTGCATTAATGTCTGAGTGGCTCCAGGAAAAGCTTTTCAGTCACAAAAAAAGAAAAAAAGGCCCCTTCATTTTTCATAGAGGAATGTGAGGGTTATTTGTTTGTTTTTAACAAGAAAACAGCATTAATTTGAAAACTTGAACTCTGCGGCAACAAGCATACGGTACTAAGGCTGGGAATTTGCTGGAGTGCATTAAAACTCCAATCTCTGTTGTTACCATATGGCTGCTTACATTGCATTATATTGAGGGCTACCAATATACGAAAAGAAAGATGTTGCCTAGCAACATTCCCATGTGACAGCTTTAACTTGGTTGCTATTTGTCACATTTTAGGGTTGCTACACAACCTTTATCCTCTTTATAGTGATGGCCTTCATGGATATAGCATCATCAATATGGCTTTTGCCTCTGGCCGAGTGCTGGGGAGGCTGGAATAATTTAATGTTATTGTTCAATATGGGGATTGGAAGTAACAATAACCCTAAGGTGAACATATTTTATGAGTCAAGTACTTCAACAAGAAAAAGGGGGAGCAAGAATACAACAACATAAGACATCAATAAGGGGTCTCTTAAAACCATTTTATATAAGCTCAGAGGCAGTCAAACTCTGATTAAATCTTGACATCAGAGTCTGCAGTGGTACAAGAGGAAGAAAACAATAAATAGAATCAGATGACCTGGAGATCTTGGTAGATAAAAATGTGTGTAATGTGCATTAAAATACAGCTGTCTATCTCCGTTTTTCTAACATTTATTCTGAATTACTAGAATAAAGGGGGAGAGAGAGAATGAAGCTTACAATAGGAAATCTGGAATTACAACTATTAAGTTTCAGTTCAAACTAGCATTCAAATCTGAGCTACCCTGTGAGATAATTTAAATTGCATATTGCTAGAAAATATAGACTAGAACATTTTGGACCATGTGGAGCCTCTCCAAAAAGCAGGTCATATGGAGGTATGTTGCTTTTCAGCCTCACTTTTGAAATGACAAAATATGTTTTCAGATTAATCTTTTGAGCCTAATGTTAAAGCAGTTTCTGCATATAAACATCAAATCTACTTGCCAAACATGTTGACACATCTTTTACAATCTCAATTTTATGACCAGGTTACAAAACGCCTGGACACAGGAGTAGGGGTGGATGTCGTATACTTAGACTTCAGGAAGGCCTTCGATACAGTATCCCACCCCATACTGGTGAACAAGTTAAGAGGCTGTGACTTGGATGACTACACAGTCCGGTGGGTGGCGAATTGGCTAGAGGGTCGCACCCAGAGAGTCGTGGTGGATGGGTCGGTATCGACCTGGAAGGGTGTGGGCAGTGGGGTCCCACAGGGCTCGGTCCTTGGACCGATACTCTTTAATGTCTTCATCAGCAACTTGGACGAGGGAGTGAAGTGTACTCTGTCCAAGTTTGCGGATGACACACAGCTATGGGGAGAAGTGGACACGCCAGAGGGCAGGGAACAGCTGTAAGCAGACCTGGACAGGTTGGACAAGTGGGCAGAAAACAACAGAATGCAGTTCAACAAGGAGAAATGGAAAGTGCTGCACCTAGGGAGGAAAAATGTCCAGCACACCTACAGCCTAGGGAATGACCTGCTGGGTGGCACAGAAGCGGAAAGGGATCTTGGAGTCCTAGTGGACTCCAAGATGAACATGAGTCGGCAGTGTGACGAAGCCATCAGAAAAGCTAATGGCACTTTATCATGCATCAGCAGATGCATGACGAATAGATCCAAAGAGGTGACACTTCCCCTCTATTGGGCACTGGTCAGACCGCAGTTGGAGTACTGTGTGCAATTCTGGGCGCCGCAATTCAAAAGGGATGTGGATAAACCTGGAGAGGGTCCAGAGAAGGGCCACTCATATGGTTAAGGGCCTACAGACCAAGCCCTACGAGGAGAGACTAGAGAAACTGGACCTCTTCAGCCTCCGCAAGAGAAGGTTGAGAGGCGACCTTGTGGCTGCCTATAAGTTCATCACGGGGGCACAGAAGGAAATTGGTGAGT